CGCCCGAAGGCCCCTCAGATACGCGGCCTGCAACGATTCCAAAGCATGCGCGTGCAACCGGTGCCATGCCGCGGAATCGAAAAGCAATCGAGAAGTCCCAAGCGAGTGCAACCACGAAGGTTTCGTGGGTAGCGGCACTTGGACCCGAGGGAAAACTGAACGACAGAGGGGGCCTAAGGCCACGTGAAACTGTTGCCTCCGATACGCCACCTCGCTGTCCAGCGTACCTGAACGATGGACCATGCTACCCAAATGCTTGTACTTGCACACTAAGTTGACCGCTTGCCGGTACTTGGGGGAGAGCACAGGGCTGGGCGGGCAACGGAAGAGGTCCTAACGCGCAGAGACAGATCCAGGGCCCCGGATGTCTACCAGAGCAGCCGTTTTGCCGGGGCCGAAATTCAGTCGCAACCCTCTCTCCATCATGGCCGCGTGCAATATGTCTACAGCGTTTCCGATCAGCTCTCGGATATGAGCGTTGGCCAGAGCCACACACAGAGCAAGCATATCGTCTACGAAAGCGATTTCTGCGGCTTCCGTGGCCTTGTGCTCGTCTGGGGGAGAGAAGAGTCGCTCCTGGGGGGCGTCAAGCGGGAGCAAAAGGCCCGCATTTTCCAGGTCCCCCCTAATCCTGGCCAGGAGCGGGGCAAACAACACATTAAAAACCCAGTCGGCCAGGGGCCCCCCCGGACGCGTCCCAGTGCGAGTGCGGCAGATCTTGTCATCCCCAGCTACTCGGAACCGTGGGTGTGTATGCGCTTCAGAGGCCATGGCCACTAGATGCTTGTCTGGGGTCAGGGAATCCAGGATGCTGGGCTGGGCCAAGGCAGCCTCCAGGGCAAGGAGCAGCGGCAACGGGATGTCTGCGCTTTCCAACGCCTCGGCCAAGTCCTCGGGGTCAGTGGGGAAGGGGGGAACAGAGTCCCGCACTACGGAATATAATGCTGCTTTAATGTCTGTGAAAACAAAATCGCCGAAACTTTTTTCTGCTGGGTTAGCAGGAGCAAGGTTCGGGCCATGTGCGAGGCCATTGTTGTAGAACGACCTTCGAGCCCCCCGCACTGCGTTTCCTCGAAGAAGGAGGAGGTGATAGAGAGGAGCTGTTTCCTGAGGAACCGGTGGTGGTGTTTGGCGATGTTGTTCATGAGGAGGATTTGCCGATAGAAAACGCTAAGACGTGATCCCCCGGAACCCTTGTAAAGAGGGACCGCCGTGCCGCCCTGCCACGCGAGTGGCTCTTGCACGTGCAGCTGGACCTTGACCACGAGTGGGTGCACCAATCGAGCCATGGCTCTTGGGGCAGCGCTCAACAATGCATCTGGGATCCCGTCCGGCCCTGGTGCCGTGCCCTTCGGTGCTCTCTTGAAGGACGAAGTGAGTTGCCGGAGGGGCATCACGTTTTGGATAGAACGGGAAATCCCAGCACCTAAATCGTGCCCCCCTTTGTTGTGCCTCTGAGCTTGGGCAATGGGCGGCAAAATCTCAGCAGTTTCGAACGCGGCGAAATTTGCACGAACATCTGCTGCTATGGCCTGGGGCGACGTGAGGACGTTGCCCTTGGGATCTGTGCGAAACGGCAGCTGCCGGGAAGTGCTCGTAGCCTTTCTACCTCCCCCTCCAAAGCGCTGCAAGATGCGAAAGAGCTGCCACTGCTGGGCCGAATCGTGGGCCCGCCCAGCCCGGGCAGCCTGCTCCCCCAAACCCTCCAAGAAAACACACCTGTCTGCCTCGAGTAGCTGGCGCACAGCCTTCCGTGTACACCTCAGAGCTGCGAGCAGTGCCGACTCGAACTCTGCCGGATGCAAGGCACCCGTCAAGAATGAAGAAGCGGCAATCGCACAAGCAGCCAGGGGAGCAACAGCATATGGTGGCGGAGAGACAGGGAGGGAGAAAAACCATTGGTGGAGGAGAGACGTAGCAAGGTTCCTCCGACCTTGCAGCTTCAACTCGGGATCCGAATGAAGTGGTCTTCGGAGCGCTCGCCTCCAACGTATCAGTTCCAATGTTAATGGTCTGACAAATGGGCGTATGGGCACTGAGGGCTTGGGAGGAAAGAACCTACGCGCAAGTGCCAAAATCACCTCACGCAGTGTCGAATCGTGCGCATGGACATCAACGGACCAGTCCGGCAAGGGCAGGTCCAACAAAGCTCGCTGGAAATCCTGCACCGCTGAGGGGTCCTTGAGACCGCTCCGGGAGAATGTGGGTGGTGGGGGGGCCCTGGGAAGAACGAGCGACTCGAGATCGACCCACACCGGCAGGTGATCCTCGCAATCGTGTGGTCTGTCCAAGTCTTCGATAACCCCGTGATTACGGACCAGCCGGTGCAGCGTATCCCCCAAGGCAACAAAATCGATACGATGCGTCGACCCCGAAGAAGACACCCAGGTGTGAGAGGCCCCGGAAGGAAGGAGGGAGGAGCGTGGTGGAGGCAAAGAGATGGGTAGAGTGCAGGAACTCCAAAAACTCGATCCCCCTCGATCGACTGGTTGAGCGAAGCCGCACGACCCTGAGAATGGGGTGGGTGACTGGTCGAGACGGCCGTTGACGTCACCAAGGAAGCAAGTGACACCAAACTTGACCGCCGTGGCGGTGGCCTCCCTCCACCATCTCTGAACGAATTCGAGGGGGTGGTCGGAATGGAGGGCGTGGGCCACCATGCACGTAGCATGGAAGTAGGGGGCGGAGAGACGGACGACAAGTAGGCTGGGGGACTTGTGGAGGACCAGGAGGTGAGAGCGACGGAGGAAGAACTCCTTGAGACCTAACCTCGCGTAGGGCCTGTCGGTGGCGATCCAGAATTCGCACCCTAGGTTACCCTTGTCACTACCCCCAGCCATCATGACGAAGACTCCTGCCGCACGTGTGCCCTCGGTCGTGCGGGCTTCCTGTATTCCCAGAATGTGGAAGCCAGAGTCGCGGAGCTGAACCCGGAGCGACTCCGCGCCGGCGAGGCGAGACACCGAAGCGTCGGGATCCGAATCCCCGTACAAGGACAGGGCATTGTAAGTTCCCATCCTTAGTGAAACACGGACATGCTTGGGCACCTCCTCATCCCCTTCCTCCTCACCCTCCTCATTGGATTCAGCTGCGTTGCATTTCTCCTCCTCCGCCTCCTCCTCATCCTCCTCCCCCCTTTTTTCTATCGGCACAGGCTCTGGTAGTTCTGCTGCTGGCGGGTCGGGCTGCCCAGAGATTGACTCGAGGCCGATGGGTGAACGACGGGGGGTGAACACGAATCCCTTGTGCTCAATAGGAGGGTATGCCTGTCGCTCGGCCCGGGGAGCGTCCAAGAGCCATGTCCAATCCATGCCAGCCTGGAAGTCTAGCTGGAGCCTCCCTCCTCCTCCTCCTCCTCCGCCTCCTCCTCCTCCTCCTCCTCCTCCTCCCTCCTGTCCTTGTATCCTTCTATCCTTCCTCCTCGTCCGCCCCGTGGAGTGGCCCCTCCGGGATCTCGGGGCCGTCTGCGGCGCGGTGGCTCTGCAGAGCTCTCCAGGAACAGGCTCGGTCGAGCCATCTTCGGGACGTCTGCGCGGGTCTTGAGGCCATCTCGGAGCCCTGTCGCCGTCGTCGCCGCCGTCGTCGTCGCCGGAGGATCTGGGGCCGCCCCGACAGCCCCCAGACACCGGAGGCCCGGGGACGACAGGCGCGACGACCAGCCGAGGCAGGAGACGGCGAGGCGGTGGAGGGGCCGCGCCAGAAGCCGAGGTCCGGCACCAAGAGGAGGAGGAGGAGGAGGAGGAGGAGGAGGAGGAGGAGGAGGAGGAATGAGGCGTGAGGTGAGGAGGGAGAGTGAGGAGGAGGAGGGAGGAGGAGGAAGAGGAGAGGAGTGAGGAGGGAGGAGGGTAGGTCAGAGGAGGAGGAGGAGGAGGAGAGAGTAGGAGCAGGAGGGAGAGAGGAGGAGAGGACAGGTAGGGAGGGAAGGCGAAAGAGAGGAGGAGGGGGACCGCGCCGAAGGGGATTCGCATTCTACCAGGAAGACGAGCGAAGAACAGGACATCACCACTGGCAGACAAGAGGCCGTGGTACTTGTCCATCGCCGCTCCCTCCAAAGAGGCCTTCAGCCGCTTCGTGAGGGACACTCGCATGTATGATGCCACTCAGGCGATGCGTCAGTGCGTGGAGGTGAGCTACAAGAAGCCCAACGACGCTGACAGGGTCAGGCTCAACATTGCCATGAAGAAAGAATAGGAAGAATTTCTACTGGCACAGGCCTGTCGAGGCCCACGATAACATTCCCCCGAGCCGAATTATACTCCCACCTGACGTTGCCCCTGGATGACGCCCTAGGGCCCAAGACGAAGCACCGCGGCGAGGAAGCGCCCCGCCACTCCACAGGGCCACCCGACGTTTACAACCCGAAAGCGTCCGCGACGGTCTCGCCCGCCAAAGCCCCGCTCAGGAGCCGTCCGCCTGGCAGGGCCGCGTCGGCGCGGCCGAGCCCTGGGCCCAACCTGCCCGCACCCAGCTCGCCCGCCAGCCAGTCGCGCACGCCAGCGAGCGGCGCGCCGGGCGCCGCCCGCACCCGGCAGCGCTCCACCCCGCCCAGGGTCAGGAAGCGCACCTCGCCGGGGAGGGAACGGGTCCTCCAGTTTGTCCGCTGTGACTCTCGCCTCCCCAGGCCGCCCACGGGCCCCAGGGCTGTCAGAAAACGGCCCAGGACGAAGATGCGATCCATGGGGGACGGCCCCGGGGTCCAGGACCCGTTCCCCTGGGGACCCGTTCCCTTCATGCCATGCACCGCACCCCCGTCAAACGACGCCTGCAGGAGCAGCGTAGCGCCGACGCGCGCGGTGTACGTCAGCGCTCCGTCCAGCGCCGGCACGTTGCACTGGCCGTCGTCATTCGAGCCGAAGGCCACGGCCGCGCCGTCGCTCTTGAGCAGCACCGTGTGGGCTTCTCCCGCGGCGACCTGCGTGTAGCTCAGGCCGCCGTCCAGCGCCGGCACGTTGCACTGGCCGTCGTCATTCGAGCCGAAGGCCACGGCCGCGCCGTCGCTCTTGAGCAGCACTGTGTGGAAGTCTCCCGCGGCGACCTGCGTGTAGCTCAGGCCGCCGTCCAGCGCCGGCACGTTGCACTGGCCGCGGCCATTCGAGCCGAAGGCCACGGCCGTGCCGTCGCTCCTGAGCAGCACTGTGTGGAAGTCTCCCGCGGCGACCTGCGTGTAGCTCAGGCCACCGTCCAGCGCCGGCACGTTGCACTGGCCGTCGGGATTCGAGCCGAAGGCCACGGCCGTGCCGTCGCTCCTGAGCAGCACTGTGTGGGCGAATCCCGCGGCGACCTGCGTGTAGTTCAGGCCGCCGTCCAGCGCCGGCACGTTACACTGGCCGGCGTGATTCGAGCCGAAAGCCACGGCCGTGCCGTCGCTCTTGAGCAGCACTGTGTGGGCGTTTCCCGTGGCGACCTGCGTGTAATTCAGGCCGCCATCCAGCGCCGGCACGTTGCACTGGCTGGCGCGATCCGAGCCGAAAGCCACCGCCGTGCCGTCGCTCTTGAGCAGCACCGTGTGGGGGCCTCCCGCGGCGACCTGCGTGTGGCTCAGGCCGCCGTCCAGCGCCGGCACGTTGCACTGGCCGGCGTCATTCGAGCCGAAGGCCACGGCCGTGCTGTCGCTCTTGAGCACCACCGTGTGGGCGCCTCCCGCGGCGACCTGCGTGTAGCTCAGGCCACCGTCCAGCGCCGGCACGTTGCACTGGCCGTCGGGATTCGAGCCGAAGGCCACGGCCGTGCCGTCGCTCCTGAGCAGCACTGTGTGGGCGAATCCCGCGGCGACCTGCGTGTAGTTCAGGCCGCCGTCCAGCGCCGGCACGTTACACTGGCCGGCGTGATTCGAGCCGAAAGCCACGGCCGTGCCGTCGCTCCTGAGCAGCACTGTGTGGGCGTTTTCCGTGGCGACCTGCGTGTAATTCAGGCCACCGTCCAGCGCCGGCGCGTTGCACTGGCCGAAGTCATTCTGGCCGAAGGCCACGGCCGTGCCGTCGCTCTTGAGCAGCACCGTGTGGAAGAATCCCGCGGCGACCTGCGTGTAGCTCAGGCCGCCGTCCAGCGCCGGCACGTTGCACTGGCCGCGGTCATTCCGCCCGAAGGCCACGGCCGCGCCGTCGCTCCTGAGCAGCACCGTGTGGACGAATCCCGCGGCGACCATCCGCGGGCGCGGTCCGGAGGCCCGAGGGCCCGCCGAGGGGGGCGCGCGCGGGCTCCTGGGAGCGCTCGGGGCTCCGGGGAGGGCCACGGCTCGAGCCGGGGCGGCGGGCGGGGAGAGGGGCGGCCCACAGGGCCCCCGCCCCTGGATGCCTGGAGGCACCTCCAACGCCCCGCGATGCGCCACGTGCGAGCGGCCATGGGGCACGTTCCTGGACTGAGGGGCAACGAGAGTGGGGGCCTGGCTCGCTGAGAGGGGGGGGGGGGACATCGACCTGGACTCGGCGACACATCGCGGAGAGATCCGCACTACGACAGAAGAGCCCCACGTTCCTGCGCTGAGGGGCAACGAGGGTGGGGGCCTGGCTGACCGGGAGGGGGATAACATCGACCTGGACTCGGCGACACGTCGCAGAGAGATCCGCACTAGGCCCCGACAGCGAAACCCCAGGATCCCGTCGGCGTGGAATGGGCGACTGAAGGTCGATGCATCACCCCCTGAGCCTATCCTCCAAAAATATCTTCGTCCCCTGGCTCGCGGGTCTCCGGCGGCCGTCGGGAACCATCCGGGCACCCCCGGACGCCTCTCGGCTAGGTGCAGCTCTTGGTGTACGCATCCCGAGGCTGGAAAGTGCCGAGGACCCACGAGAGCATCCCCCCCGAGCCTAAATATACCCCCACCTGACGTTGCCCCTGGATGACGCCCTAGGGCCCAAGACGAAGCACGGCGGCGACCCGATGTCTACAACCCGAAGGCGTGCGCAACGGTCTCGCCCGCCAAAGCCCCGCTCAGGAGCCGTCCGCCTGGCAGGGCCGCGTCGGCGCGGCCGAGCCCAGCCTGCTCGCGCCCAGCTCGCCCGCCAGCCAATCGCGCACGCCAGCGAGCGGCGCGCCGGGCGCCGCCCGCACCCGGCAGCGCTCCACCCCGCCCAGGGTACCAGGAAGCGCACCCGCCGGGAAGGGAACGAGGTCCTCCAGTTCTTCCTGCTGTAGACTCTCGGCCTCCCCATCCCACCCGGCCCCAGGCCAGTCAAATATGGCCCATGAATGAAGAAAGCGATCCCCATGGGGCACGGCCCCTGGGTCCAGGAACCCGATCGCTGTAGGGACCCGTTCCTTCATGCCAAGCACCGCGCCCCCGTCAAACGACGCCTGCAGGAAAAAAAAAAAAAAAAAATGACAGGAAAAAAAAAAAAAAGAAAAAAAAAAAAAAAAAGAAAGAAGCAGAGGAGAAAAGCAGCGTCGCGCCGACGAGCGGGCGACCGGTGTACGTCAGCGCTCCGTCCAGCGCCGGCACGTTGCACTGGCCGTCGCGATTCCAGCCGAAGGCCACGGCCGTGCCGTCGCTCTTGAGCAGCACCGTGTGAAGGCCTCCCGCGGCGACCTGCGTGTAGCTCAGGCCGCCATCCAGCGCCGGCACGTTGCACTGGCCGTCGGGATTCGAGCCGAAGGCCACGGCCGTGCCGTCGCTCTTGAGCAGCACCGTGTGGGCGCCTCCCGCGGCGACCTGCGTGTAGCTCAGGCCGCCATCCAGCGCCGGCACGTTGCACTGGCCGGCGTCATTCGAGCCGAAAGCCACGGCCGTGCCGTCGCTCTTGAGCAGCACCGTGTGGAAAAAAAAAAAAAAACAAATGCAAAAAAAACGACAAACAAACAGAAAAATAAAAAAAAAAACAAACCCCCCACATCACTGATAATCCCCGCCAACCACCCCCCCCTACCCCTCCCCCCCCCACTTATCCCCCCCCCCCCCCCCCGTTCCTCCTCCCACCCCTGCCCCCTGCTCCCCCCCCCCCCACCCTCCCCGTCCCCCCCGCGGCTCACCCCCGCTGCGACCATCGAGGTAGCAGGTCCACCGTCCCAGCGCCGGCACGGCGCACTGGCCAAAATGATTCAAGCCGACGGCCACGGTCGGTGCCGTCGCTCTTGAGCAGCACTGTGTGGGCGAATCCCGCGGCGACCTGCGTGTAGCTCAGGCCACCGTCCAGCGCTGGCACGTTGCACTGGCCGCGGTCATTCCGCCCGAAGGCCACGGCCGCGCCGTCGCTCCTGAGCAGCACTGTGTGAAGGCCTCCCGCGGCGACCTGCGTGTAGCTCAGGCCGCCATCCAGCGCCGGCACGTTACACTGGCCGGCGTGATTTGAGCCGAAGGCCACGGCCGTGCCGTCGCTCTTGAGCAGCACCGTGTGGAAGAATCCCGCGGCGACCTGCGTGTAGCTCAGGCCGCCGTCCAGCGCCGGCACGTTGCACTGGCCGCGGTCATTCCGCCCGAAGGCCACGGCCGCGCCGTCGCTCCTGAGCAGCACCGTGTGGACGAATCCCGCGGCGACCATCCGCGGGCGCGGTCCAGAGGCCCGAGGGCCCGCCGAGGGGGGCGCGCGCGGGCTCCTGGGAGCGCTCGGGGCTCCGGGGAGGGCCACGGCTCGAGCCGGGGCGGCGGGCGGGGAGAGGGGCGGCCCACAGGGCCCCCGCCCACAGGGCCCCCGCCCCAACGCCCCGCGATGCGCCACGTGCGAGCGGCCATGGGGCACGTTCCTGGACTGAGGGGCAACGAGAGTGGGGGCCTGGCTCGCTGAGAGGGGGGGGGGGGACATCGACCTGGACTCGGCGACACATCGCGGAGAGATCCGCACTACGACAGAAGAGCCCCACGTTCCTGCGCTGAGGGGCAACGAGGGTGGGGGCCTGGCTGACCGGGAGGGGGATAACATCGACCTGGACTCGGCGACACATCGCGGAGAGATCCGCACTAGGCCCCGACAGCGAAACCCCAGGATCCCGTCGGCGTGGAATGGGCGACTGAAGGTCGATGCATCCCCCCCTGAGCCTATCCTCCAAAAATATCTTCGTCCCCTGGCTCGCGGGTCTCCGGCGGCCGTCGGGAACCATCCGGGCACCCCCGGACGCCTCTCGGCTAGGTGCAGCTCTTGGTGTACGCATCCCGAGGCTGGAAAGTGCCGAGGACCCACGAGAGCATCCCCCCCGAGCCTAAATATACCCCCACCTGACGTCGCCCCTGGATGACGCCCTAGGGCCCAAGACGAAGCACGGCGGCGACCCGATGTCTACAACCCGAAGGCGTGCGCGACGGTCTCGCCCGCCAAAGCCCCGCTCAGGAGCCGTCCGCCTGGCAGGGCCGCGTCGGCGCGGCCGAGCCCTGGGCCCAGCCTGCCCGCGCCCAGCTCGCCCGCCAGCCAATCGCGCACGCCAGCGAGCGGCGCGCCGGGCGCCGCCCGCACCCGGCAGCGCTCCACCCCGCCCAGGGTCAGGAAGCGCACCTCGCCGGGAAGGGAACGGGTCCTCCAATTTGTCCGCTGTGACTCTCGCCTCCCCAGGCCCTCCACGGGCCCCAGGGCTGTCAGAAAACGGCCCAGGACGAAGATGCGATCCATGGGGCACGGCCCCGGGGTCCAGGACCCGTTCCCCTGGGGACCCGTTCCCTTCATGCCATGCACCGCGCCCCCGTCAAACGACGCCTGCAGGAGCAGCGTCGCGCCGACGCGCGCAGTGTACGTCAGCGCTCCGTCCAGCGCCGGCACGTTGCACTGGCCGGCGGAATTGTCGCCGAAGGCCACGGCCGTGCCGTCGCTCTTGAGCAGCACCGTGTGGAAGCGTCCCGCGGCGACCTGCGTGTGGCTCAGGCCGCCGTCCAGCGCCGGCACGTTGCACTGGCCGGCGTCATTCGAGCCGAAAGCCACGGCCGTGCCGTCGCTCTTGAGCAGCACCGTGTGGGCGACTCCCGCGGCGACCTGCGTGTAATTCAGGCCGCCGTCCAGCGCCGGCACGTTGCACTGGCCGGCGTCATTCCAGCCGAAGGCCACGGCCGTGCCGTCGCTCTTGAGCAACACCGTGTGGGCGACTCCCGCGGCGACCTGCGTGTAGCTCAGGCCGCCATCCAGCGCCGGCACGTTGCACTGGCCGTCGGGATTCGAGCCGAAGGCCACGGCCGTGCCGTCGCTCTTGAGCACACGTGTGGGGCCTCCCGCGGCGACCTGCGTGTGGCTCAGGCCGCCATCCAGCGCTGGCACGTTGCACTGGCCGCGGTCATTCCGCCCGAAGGCCACTGCCGCGCCGTCGCTCCTGAGCAGCACTGTGTGAAGGCCTCCCGCGGCGACCAGCGTGTAGTTCAGGCCGCCGTCCAGCGCCGGCACGTTACACTGGCCGGCGTCGTGATTTGAGCCGAAGGCCACGGCCGTGCCGTCGCTCTTGAGCAGCACCGTGTGGAAGAATCCCGCGGCGACCTGCGTGTAGCTCAGGCCGCCGTCCAGCGCCGGCACGTTGCACTGGCCGCGGTCATTCCGCCCGAAGGCCACGGCCGCGCCGTCGCTCCTGAGCAGCACTGTGTGGAAGTCTCCCGCGGCGACCTGCGTGTAGCTCAGGCCACCGTCCAGCGCCGGCACGTTGCACTGGCCGTCGGGATTCGAGCCGAAGGCCACGGCCGTGCCGTCGCTCCTGAGCAGCACCGTGTGGACGAATCCCGCGGCGACCATCCGCGGGCGCGGTGCGGAGGCCCGAGGGCCCGCCGAGGGGGGCGCGCGCGGGCTCCTGGGAGCGCTCGGGGCTCCGGGGAGGGCCACGGCTCGAGCCGGGGCGGCGGGCGGGGAGAGGGGCGGGCCACAGGGCCCCCGCCCCTTGGATGCCGAGAGCGGGGGAATAGGGTGGTAAACTTTTGGCTCTCTCTCGATAGCGATGATGAAGAGAATGCAACAGTATGATTGCGATAACGATGATGATGCTTACGATGATGGTTACGATGAGGATGGCAACAACGACGACGATGATGACAATGATGCTGATGACGTGAGTGGGGATGGTGATGATAGTGGAGGCCCCTCCACAACAAGAATCAATATGTGGACGCCCCTCCACACAAGGAATCAATGTGTGGAGCCCTCCCACATAAGGAATCAATATGTGGAGGCCTCTCCACCACTCTCCCCCCCTCCGTCCTCACTCCTCCTCCATCCTCGGCATTGCATTGCATTGCACTGCAAACGCATGGTA